TAGAATGAATGGATTATTCATTGCGATATTTTCAATTTTGTTTCACCAATATGATAACTATTATCGAAGGGGAGCCTTCGCTGTAAGATAAAGTTTTTTTCCAATTATTTACTCATCTATTTATTTTTTAAATTGAAAACGAAAATAATAGTATAGTTAAACGCTTTGCGTACTCTTTAGATTATCAGCTACTACTTCTACTACTACTACTATTATTATTTCTATTACTACTTCTATTACTACTATTACTTTTCTATTATTACTTCTACTTTTGACAGGAGTAAACTTGTCATTAAAAGGTTGGTGTGGTGCTGGGACACGCAGTTTATTTCTATCGCTGTGGCTAACTAAAAAGTTTAAAAATTCTTCGTAATTTTCTTCCGCAAATGAAGCAATTTGAAGTGAAATGTTAGATTAAGAAGCAAACAGGTTGATTTAAAAATCTAAAATTTAAAAATTTTTCAAAATTTTGACTGAATTTGATTTTCGCAGAAATAGAAATTAATGAATCTTTTTTTGGAATTTGCATAGTATTACAAGAATTTCTCGCGATATCCATTTCTATTAAATTTAGCATCTCTACGCATATTATTTGTTCAGTAGCAATGGATTTACATTTGCTAAAATTTCATCGCACACGTGGCCATCAGCTGCCTTAACGTGATTTGCAGTAGCAGCGATTCTTCGACAAATTATAACAACGGAATTTATTTCATTTTTTTCACGTGAATATTGGGTAAAATAGATCTTAAGAAATCTTTTTTTAATTTACTTCAATTATTTGCTGCATTTTAGAATTAATTAAAGTAGTGATTAATTATGTAAGAGTCGCTCTTTTTTCATATCTATTCATTTTATTCTCCACTTTTGATAAAGTAATGTCCAAATCTAATAATAAAGAAGCAGATGATGGATTCCAGCTGTGCTCTATCTTCAAATGACTCTCTAGCGAAGGCCACACTGTACCACAAGAAAGTAAAGAAACAGATTTTATCACTGTCAAAGCAAAAAACAAAAATGACCAAAAAAATTAAATATAGATTTTGACTAAAAATCTAAGTAAAGCAAAATCGGAAAACACTGGAAAAAATTTAAATTATAAAAATCATAGCAGCAATTTTGCAAGTACAAAAAAGCATTGAAGTCAACTAGTTGGTCTCGGTATTCGGATTACTGCTGAACCATCCTCAAGTGACTGGTAGCCAATGGTAGTGAAAAATAATATAAATAATAAAAATAATAAAAAATAATCAATGAAATCAGCCAAACCAAAAATGTTGACTTTTCGATATTGCAAAGAGAATAAAAAAAACGTTAAACTGAAGTGCCACTGATGATCGCGAAATTAAACAACACAGTCAAACAGGAAAATAAAAAAAACAACACATTTAAGAAATAAGCAGACAAATTTTTGATAAAGCAGATAAAGCGAAATCAGAAGCAGTGCACATTGGAAATATGAGAGCAGAAAGCAAGCAGGTTAAGAGCTATATTTTCCTTTTCCAGTGATATCTCTTCTAACAGAATTTTTTCTCCCAATCACTGCATAAAACACTTTTAATGGATTTAATGGACACTTTCCTACTTTCTGCAGTTTTTTCACTTCCGCAATATTACTCAAAGCCAATTATCTTAGTCAATCATTAGTTAAATTAATTTTATGGCATAATCGAAGTTTTGACTGGTTGACTGGTTATTTGAAGCTGTATGTAAATAATTCGTTAATTCATTCCCTTAATAAGCTCCACTGGCTACCGGTGTAATGAGAATTTTTTGCAAGTTAGTCACTTGACGATACAGATAGGTTGCTACAACTACAGGATTTTTTAATGCCAGACTTAATTTTGCCGAGTTAGAACTCTTATGCTTGAGATGATAGGCCGAGCAACAACCACTCGACTATCTGGTCAATTCTCACACTGAGATGGATTTAAAAGGAATTTATAATATCAACGAATAACAAAATGTTTTCACTGTTTCTTCAGAGCTAGAAACAGGAATCATACATGTGGAAAAGTGGCTTTCATCTTTCATATAATGTATACAATGTATTTAATTTAATATAATTAATATAATGTGATGATTTTAAAGATATCAGTTTTACTTCTGCTTTAAATATATTTTATATTAAATGTATTATATATTATAGCCAAAATTATAATACGAAAAAGTTTCAGTTTCTTAATCTCAGAATGGCTCTCTAAAAATAAAGATAATGACAATCAATAGGAGAACTTTAGAAGAACCATATAATTATATTTACATCTTATTAATTATATAACTATAATTAATTTTAGTTTACTATATAATTTCGTTATAATTAATTATAAATTATAATTAATTTCTTTATTCTTTATATAGTGATAATGAGGCAATTATATTTGTTATAATTATATTTTCATAATGTTCTAATGATAAGCAGTCACGAAAATATGTAATAATACCAAATCAGAAAAAAGCCAGCTTGATGGACAATCAATTTCGTGGTATTTACTGATCAATTACCTCGAGGTAGAAATACGTGCATCAGAAATTCCAATAAAAAAGAAGAATTATTCGATATCAAAGTAAAGATGAAAATGGATATGGATACCACCAGAAATTTTAATATATGGTAGAGTTTTTCGATATTAATCGAAAATTATGGAATAAGTCATTGCTGTGTTTCAGTATTTTAGACAAAACCATGCTCACGTCTTACCGTCTTATTTTTGCTAACATTTTTTTCCACACTTGAGAAAATAAAATATTTTAACGAATGCCTGATGAAATTCTTTAGATTTTGAATAATCAATTCTGACTAACTAATAGTGATTTGTTTGGATGGAAGATTTATTCCAAAAATTTTCCCGAAACAAAATACCAGAAATTTAGCGAAAAAACGAATAATTATTCAAAAAAAATTTGGAAAATTTGTTAAAAAAAATCCTAAAAGAAATAAATCGAGCCCAATAATATAGCAATATAAATAGCAATATAAATCACTGTTTTCTGATTAGACTATTTTTCTAAGTTTAATTGTGTCAAGTGCAATGTCGAACCATGAAGTTTGAGATGATATCTAAGCACTACAATCTACTAAAGCCCAATAAATTTAATGATATTTTATTAATTTGGATAAAAGATTTGATTCTAGAAATATTTTTTATTGATTTGCACTCAGAAAAATTCCTTCCCGAATTTCTTTTTGGAGCATTTTTTATCGTCAATCATATAATACATTTCAAATTTAATGATCTTCTAACAGCACTCCCCATTTCTGGTTAGGCTGGCTCCAGTTATTAATAAGATAAACGAGGTTATCACTAGAGAATTGTTTGGGGATACATCACCAAAATAAAGACAGATCTCCGATATCTCCAGCAATGTGGACTTTTAATAAGGGATTTATCTTCTCAAAGACGAGATGCTTGACTTCAGTCGTAACATATAACTATAAGCAAGTGGATTGTTTTGAATTGAATATAGAAATTCTCCAATTTAATAAAAGCATTTTTTCCATTTTTTAACTGCTCAGCAAAATTGGCGATAATGTTTGTCGCTAACAATGAATTTCTGACAATGAAAAACTGTAATCAAATCGGACGAATTAGATAAAATTTTTCGAAAAAAAACGACGAAAGCTGGAAGCTAGTGAAAAAAAATATAAACAAAATGAAATCACAATAGTGCCATGAAAAATTTAGTATTACATAAATGAAGAATAAAAATAAGCGACAAGTGATGGAAACGCGCGTGACTGCGAAAACTGTGCAACGACTGGAATAAAGGAGATTAAAAATGGAAAAAAATGTTCATAAATTTAAAAAAATTTAAATTTAAATTTAAAATTTAAAAAAAATTGATGAATGAATTTTTTAGCTAATATTTAATATTATATATTATTATTATTTTTTATATTTTAATATATTTCTCCAGTTTCTTCAGTGTGATGCATGCAAAATGGTGTGGAACTAGGTTATCCGAATGATACATTGTTTCGATGGCAGTAACTATTATGGAATTCCAGTCGTGCTGGGATGCCTATCTACACTTCCATTCACTTCCGATGAAAAGACCTTATTCTAATAGGCAATGGATGCCAGAAATTAATGTGTTATTAAAAAAGGAAGAAATGAAGAAACTGTGGCTTTATCAACATTTTTTATGCAGCGGAAGATAATTTCTGGAGAAAAAAATATTATAATTCATGTAGTTCGGAATTCTGTGAATTTTACGGATAATTGAAAAATGCAAATGTAACGGATCATCGATCATGATCCAGTTTTTATGCTTTATCACGGTCAACTTCATTACAAATATCATCAAAATAATTTCGGCACCCGTCAAATCAACCACTGAACCAGCGAAATTGATGTTGCAAGCACATGCCACATGTTTCTTTTTTACATTTCACAAGAATTAATCCAAAGTTTTAAACTAAAGATGTGGCATATCGTGTATAAATTTCTCATTTATAAAAGTTTTGAATTTTGCCATAAAGAATTATATTTTTAGCGATTATATTTGATTTTTGTTTATCACTATATCGCTATTTTGAACAAATGAAATTTCTAAATTTGTTCAGCATCATATCGACTAAAAATGGTAATTTTTTTTATCATTGTCATTCATTATTATTTTACTATCATTATCGTTTTTATTATAATATTATTGATATTGATATTACTATTATTGTTATTGTTTATAATTGTCATTTTATTGTTAATTTCTTTCTTATTATTATTAATTAACACTATTATTAATTGTTAAATTTATTAATTGTCGTTGCCATTAGAAATTGCTATTATTTTTAAAGCTATGGCAACAAATTAGGAGAAAAATCATAATGGTCACAAAAATAAAATATGGCAATCGCTGAAAGTGGTTGAAATAGAACTAATTACTTGAATGACTTCAAGTATAATAAGCGTAACATAAAGTAAGTGAAAATAATTTAAATTTGTTATTGGCTTTAAAAAGCACAGTGAAATAAATTATTAACTATATTCAAAGAAATTTTATGACAAAGATCCTATAGCAAATATAGATAACCTTTCGTCATGCATGATTCGCGTGCTAATCTGATCGTAAAAGTTAGCGATTCGCTCTCTTTCATTGCATCGCCGTCTATCCAAAGTAAGTTGACAATCCTTACATGGATCATAGTCGTCTTGTGGATGAAACATATAAGCCTGAAAAAAATTCTTTTCTTTCTAAATCATTCGGCAAAATTCAAAAAAATCAAACCAAACAAATCATAATAAATCGTACTAAAAACTTCTGCCAATATTTACGATCGAAAACTCGGAAACCATAAATTTGGAAAAAGAATTTTCAAGAAATAATTATAGAAAAAAGGCAAATTGGAGGCAAAAAGATATAAATGATATATTGGATGTCGAAGGAAATTAATTATCCTGGAGTTTCGAAATCATAATCATGTGCTCATATTTCAGAACGCAGCAATTAACTAACTACTACTCATAAACTAACTAAATGCTCAAATGCTCAAAGATTATTAGAGAAATTAAGTGTCATAAAAAAATAGAAATCATACAATACGATGCATACAAACGGTTAGTTGTAACGGTTGTTAACGGTTAATTACCAACCATATCTTTTCCCACTACACATCCATATTTTTCCATCTTTTTTTACGATACGCATGCGATATTTTCCGCATTTTAATTGAAAATAGAGGCAAATTGGCTGAGTGAAATCATGCTAATAATGCATGTTTCTTTCTTCGAATATCATTCATATTCTATCTGTTTTCTATTATTAAAAGTGAAATAAGAATGAATGGTGCTGTAAGCTTACTTTACTTTTATATCCAAGTGAATCTCAATTGATAGAATCTCACCATAGAGTCAATTGAAACAAAAGAAGTTTTAGGTTTTTGCAAGTTTTTTTCTCCGCCATATATAAACTAGGAACTTAAATTGGTAAATCTTTAAAGAAGGATTTGTCAAAAAATTAAATGTAAATTATTCAAATGTAAAAGGTTTAATTATTTTAAAATGGCATAGCCCAATACTATTCTATGGTTGATTTTTTTTTCTAAGAGTCCTTACCATTACTGGTTAAACTCGCTCCACTGGCTTATCGCACTGGACAAATATGCCAAATATTTGCTTGGCGGTAGATGTACAGGTGAGTCGCCAGCATCACCCGGATTTTTGGACAGGTTTATTCCGCGATTCTATGGTCGATACGAATTTAAATATTATTTTACAAGTTTATAACTTGTTTATTTCAAATTTGTCAAGGTTTCAATGGTTGTTTTAATGATGAATTATCGATAGAGCTTTACGACTATAAAGTAAAAAATTTTAAGATGAAGAAAGAATTTAACACATCAATCCATTTATATTTGCCAAAAAAAATTAGAAAGCAAATTGAAAATTTTTTTTCAATTTCAAGGAATTTAATTTATAAAAATTTAGAATTTAGAAAATTTCTGAACCTTTTTCGAAAGATTCAAAATTTCAAAGATTCAACTGAAAACATTTAAAAATTTTTTTAAATAGAACTTCTAAAATGTATAAGATTTTTCCTGTTTTTTATCGCACATTCACATATTTGATAAAGAATAAAACGCAAAAGCGATAATTAAGCTACGAAAATTCACCGGAAGGGCACTTTGACGTCGATATTTCGATGGCGATTCTGAGACGCTTCTCGTTGGCAAAATAGGTGTTGAAGGCAGTTTGCGGCCGCTTCGCTTAAATGATACAGCATAATGATATGGTTCTGAATCCATCATCTACAAGAAATAACTCTTTTTTACCATCTTTATCCATAAATTAAAAGCATTGGAAAAGCCAGAAAGCGAAGTAAGGAAATATTTGTCCCTCTACCTATAATTAGTTGCTGGTGAAAATTCTTGTTTGTATTTTTTTATTAAATTTCGACTTAAAAAGGGAAATTTGAAATTTTTTACTCTTATAAAACGATGATATTCAATTTTTATGGCTTTTAATGAGAAAAATAAATTTAAAAGAGGAAATGTGAGCAATCATTCATCAGATGATAAAAATCGATTTACATATTTGAATTAATTTACAAAAGAATGGAATATTTTTTATGAATATTCACACAAAAAGACGAGTAAAAGGTATATTTAAATCGGATAATAAAAATAAATAATAAAAAATAAATGGAGCAGATGAATTATTGCCGAAAGCAATAAAGCAATTCGCTGAGCCAATTCATAAAAAAACTTATCTTTTGGCCAACAATATATTGCGTTGGACTATTAAATTTCTATATCATGAATTATAAAAAAACTCATTTTAAAAAATTGTATTTTGGACAAAAATATCATTGGGAGCTGCAGGAATTAGTCCAGAGAATGACATAGCAATCGAGGTAATTACAGGATTTATAAAAAACCAAATTTTGACCAAAAGGACCATAAAAAAATTACGGGATTCTCCGTCAAAATGCTATATGACCTATGAAAGCTTTGTACTCAAAATGCATTCACTATGAACATCATGGCATTTCACAGACAGCAACTACGGTTTATAATTTAAATCCACGAATTTTCAGTATAATTTCATCGTTTTTGAAATGATTCAACCGAATTCAACTTGTTTTCCCGACGTTTTTTCAAGAGATTTATGATTATACGCTCAGTCGCGTTTTTGAATCGCGTATGCAGCAGATAAATAAAATTATTGGAATAAAACCGCGAAACTGTTGATATCGTCGATTATCGAATGAGGTTTTCATAATTTAGTATTTATGTATGCAATTATGCGACATGATATCCAAATTCGGAGACCAGAACTGATGAAGCGAAGCCAAATTCAAATAAATTATTAATTAAAATTGTTCAAGTGAATAATAAATTAGATCAATAAGCAATAAGCAATTTTATAAGCCACAACATATGGCGATAACAATATGTTTTAGATTAAAATATTCATAACAGCGATAACGTCATAACATCCAAGCCACCATTCCTCAATTAAAAAAATCTATAATAATATTACCAAAAAACTCGCCATAATCCTTTATGTAAAGCATATTTTTTTGAACCATTTGAAAGGCTGGTGAAATAGTAATCCTAAGGACCTTTTCTTCGAAAATAAAATATGGGCGCCATGAAAAAAAATGATAGGTTTGAATTCTACTAGTTAAAGATCGTAAGTACTTTTAAGTGCTAAGACTGCTAAAATTACATTCAATTCTTGCCTAGGCTCACAAAGAATGGAATGTTAAGCATTTTTTTCTTTCCATTTACTGCAAAAATGATGCTTATTTTATGATAAATAAAAGTAAACGAACATGGAATAATCATTAATAGATGAAACTCTATCTCTATTATCTCAAAAGCTTAAGAAAAATTGCTAACTACAGTTGAATCGAGGAGTTCGCATATAATAAATCTAAATTGATTGCCTTCTCGATTCATACGTAATTTTTTTGCATTTCCCAGATTTCATACATTCTGAATAGAATAGATGATTGGCCATTGAGAAGTTGAGAAGTTTATAAAATAAACGTTTAAAGAAATAATATCAGCCAATAAAGTCAACTAAAATTGTCCATATATCAGAAAATTCGATCAATGATATGAATGAAAACAAGCAAGTAATTATGCAAAATTTAACGTTTAAAGGAAGCAATAAGCTATTCAATCGTACTCCAACCAAATGCAAATAAATCTATATTGAACAAATATTGGTTGCTTGTTAGCAGTTGTAGCTGCACCATTAATTTTTAAAGATTAAAAAATTGTTGACCACTAATTCAAAATAAATTAACACAACTGGCAAAAAAATTCGAGGATAAACCAAATCTTCTCGGAAAAATAAGGAAAAGATGCTCAGAGCTGTAAAAAAAGTGAAATCCCTAAAACCTTATATCTCTCTATAAGAATTCCACGAGATGCGATTTCGATAGAAATTGAAGTTAATTATGAATAAACTCCCGAGAAATGGATTATTCAGATATGGGAATGCAAAACAAAAGGAAGACGCATAAGAAATAAACGTAGATATTTAAGTTAATTAGATTTTTAATCGGTTAATTTCTAACGATTTACGGCAAAAAAGATGGGCCAAAAAATTTCATAAATAGAAAACATGCCTATAGTAATATTTTAGAGCTAAAAAATTCTTTAGGTTCGCAAATAGAACCTATAAATTATTTCCGACTGATTTCTCAGATATAGGAAAGTTTATTTTTACTTTATTATTAAAGTTTATTTTAGTTTATATAAAAATTTTTAAGTTTAAAGATAATAGAATGGTAAAAATGGCATTCACCAAAGGAATTTGTGATATCTAAAAAAATATATAAATGCTTTTATTTAATAATCTTCAATAATTCGAGATAGAAATAGTTGTAGAAAGAAAATTTAACAAATAATAAAAATATGAAAACAATAAATGTGAATGTTGTGTTCCATGCCTTGAAACATTTCGTAATATTGTGGGTTGGATGAAATAGAAAAGGAGATTGTGGCTTCATACAACGAAAGCTTAATAGAAGATCGGATTTCCCTTTGTTGATGAAAAGAAAATATATTTAAAAATTTATTACGAAGATAAATCCAGGTCGTAAATCTTAAAAACCGCATGACTGAAAAAATCAAGTATAGGCAAAGAATGAAAGGCAGCCGAGTTCATCCATTTTCGTCGACGAACTTATAATGATTATGAAGAATTCCTAAGAATTCCTTAGGAATTATTTCATCAACAGTGGTAACGCATCAATAATTACTATATCTAGCGTTGTCTTTTTATATCGTATTTCTGCGGGAAACGTATTTCTGCGGGAAAATCTTTTTTTTAGAACGCGATTTAAGAAGGCTGCAAACTACGACATCGATTTCACACAGCCAGCAAAAACGCTCCAAAATATTTTTATCTTGCAAATTTAAAAGCGCATTAATTAATGCGACTGGTCGATCTGTTGTAGTAACTTGCAAGATGAGATCCTTTTGCCAGCACAGAAGCAATAGAAGCACAACATTCTTCAGATTCTATTGCTGATGACATTTTTGCTTTCTTCAATGGATAAATTCGCAATGCAGCAAATGTCTAACATCGAGGCGACATAATAGCCATCTTGTCAGTTTTGTTGTCAGTAATTCTGATTGTTTTTTCGTGATTTTTTTTGCGATTCCTTCTTCATAAAGTATCCTTCTCTTTTTTTCACTTTTATCCACTAGCCATTTGGTGCTGTCGACTGCACATAAATTACTGTACTTGCCCAATGGTATTAAGAGTGTCATCAAATATAATCTGAAATAAAAACCGAGCCTTTCCCATTTTTTTCATTTCAATATTATTTTACATTTTATATTTGCCTCGTTAATTCATCATAACAATTCTTTTTCATAGCAATCCTTAGGCTGGATTATTTATATTTATTTATCCTTATGCCTGTGCAGATAACTCAATTTTTTTTGCGGGGTAGTTCAAAAATGTGATTATAAATGAGTCACAGCAAAATTAGCCACCGTTTCGTTGCTTAATCCTCACTCCTCTCTGAACTTATTTACCACTCCTTCATATTCTCTTTCTCCCTCTTCCTTCGGAACTTAGTTAATTAATCCTTCTTCGGTGGATCTCATATTTCGACAATGCCTTCCAAAAACCTGTCGCAGTCCTCCAAACCCAGTCCCTTAAAATCCCTTATTTTCTCGTCAAAGTTCTTCCTAAGCCTAATGGACTGTAAAAATATCCGTTAAACATTCCTTCAAAGAACTATCTCAGTATTTTTTTATATGGCTTATTTTATTGTTATATTGCTATCTCATTTGCGAAAAGTTATCAGTAAAACAGAACTATGTTTCAGTAGATTCGAGTTCCGTCATAGCTTTCTTCTAGCTGGTTTTTTCGATTTAAATTTATTCTATGTAATGTGTTATATTTTTTTTAAAGATCCTCATTACTCATGTCCTCATCATTACTGGTTCCACTGGCTTGTCACTTTGAGCAATATGCAAGGAATTCATTGGCAGTAGAAATACAAGTGAGTCGCCAGCATCACCCGGATTTTTGTATAGGTTTATTCCTGTGGGGAATCGAACCTCAACATTGGCGCTTCCAATCGAGCAACAACTCACTGAATCTTTTAAATAAAATCAAGGATATTCAATCTTTTTTATCCCGCATAATAGGCAAATAATCTAATATGAAAAAAATAAAGATTAAAGAACCTGCAGTGATAAGAAAAACCAGGATTTCGATGAATTCAAGCATATTCGCAGAATTTAAATAATTTAAACAAAAAAAATTAGTTTTCGTTAAAATGTGATTTTCATTATTGCAATACCAAATACGCGATTGAAATTGCATGAAATTATCGTAATTTCCACTGGAAATTGCATAGTAGCCATGGAATAATGAATTCTAAGCGCTAAAATTGAAGAATAATCGACTAACTTAAGACGACAAACGCTGTCCCGAGAAAATAATCGAAGTTGGCAAACTGATCAGTTTATGCAAGCATAAATGTTTTCCTAATTTTGCATTCGCACCATTTATTATTGGAATAAGCTGACGAATAACGATGTTTATGCGTCATTCTTAGCTGTTTTTGAAAAAAGATTGAATAATATCCTTGATTTTATTTAAAAGGTTCGCATTATGAAGGCAATTTGATCATCTTTCATTCGAATATTTTTCAATAATAGATTCAGTTCAGTTCGACTTGAGTTATTCTGTAATTCCCCTTTATAGTATATTATTTCCCTTTATATTATTATCCTCTCGCATTACACACTCTAATTTTCAATGATCT